AAAAAAAAAAAAAAGAGCTACAGGACCATAAAATTTTCTCCCACAAAAAGGCCACCTACTTACTTAAATCTTCATCTTCTTGCTGAGAGTCATTGACAGTCATATAAACCATCTTCTCCCTTGGTACACGAATACTGTTAGTCTGATCAAGTAGTTCAACTCCATGATCATTCTCAGGCTCACTCTCGACAATGTCTACGGTGCCACCTATCAGAGAAGATAACAGTTCCAAGAATTTATGTGAAAACTTCATTTCCACCTGTTGTACTTATTACATCTTACAAGCTTTTCTATAGCTATATTGGAATTCTTTCTTAAAAGTTATCTTCATGAAAGATCTCAAATGTTCTCTATCTAAACTACCCAAAAGTTATCAGGTTGAAGTGTTTGGATCGGAATATATAATAATGTGGAGGTTTCCTCTTACCTAAGTCATCCTCTCCAGGGTCAGCTTTAAAAATGTACACCTTGATGACTTCGGGGCAAGTGCCATCAACTTTACAAGGATCAATTTCCGACTCTGCATCCAAGGTCATTCCAGAGGAACCATCGTGTTCCATTTTCCCAGCATCATCCACTAAAAAGGCAGAAAACACGTTACAAATAATAATAGTAAATACTTAAATGTTACCATTTTCAAGTCTTTTTTACAAATATAATCTTTAACTTGATTCACATAAAACTGAATGATTTTACCTAGACAAGTAGACACGCAGGGCATGGTGGGACATGTGGCCAATGGCTAAGCCAAAGCCTGGACATGGAGGGCCTTGTGCAACCAGGAAGAGAAGCTCAGACTTGATCCTGGTAGGCTGGAGGTTTCTCAATCTGGTCAGGTGTCAAGATCTCTTAGGGAATCTAAAAACACAGGCCAGCACCTAGCAGTTCAATAGAATCAGAATCTACAGAGGTGGGGATTCTGATCAGAGGTTTAAGAACCTCTGCTGTAGGTGATGAGACACTTTTAAGCTGAGCAGTGACATGGTGAGATAGCCATTTTTGCTACACCATGTTGGTCTTGAGAAAGGTGGATCCAAAGGGATCAAGACATAAAGCAGGGATACTACTTGTAAGTAATGCAGGTGATGGATGCCAAGGCCTCGAAATCAGGATGGAGGTAGTACAGATGGGGAAGAGGGCTGGACTGAAGTCTATCCTAGGACTGAAACAGGAAGACAGTGCCTGACTGAAAACAACATGAAAAAGGAGCCAAGGATACTATGGAATTTCTGATTTAGGTGACTGAGTTATTGAGGGGAAGAAATGTTAAAAGAAATAAGGAAAAGGATCTCGCTTCCTGCAAGTTTAATTAAGGTCTGAGGGGTAACATTCCTAAATGTTCTCTGAACCGGTGCCTGTCCCTATCCCTCTGTGCTCACAGCACTCTTTGATTGTTTCTGAGTATATGACTCACTGTATTGTCACTATCTGGACTTTTCCCTCTATCTTTCCCATTGATAGAGCAGAACTCGCATTTTCATTATTCAGTCTTTTAAGACAGAGTCTGGAGATAGCAGATGCTCAGAATATAGATGAATCAATGATTCAATGAATGACTGAGATGTGAAATCGGTTGCTGGATATTCAAGTCTGAAAGCTAAAGGCTGACACAGAATTGGGAGCCACCAGCTCCGTGTTAACTAAGCCTTGAGGTCAGAGTGAGAACCTGCCATGTGAAAAAAGAGTGGGCTGAGGAAATCCTGAGAATATCGGTTTAAGGGAGGGGCAAGAAAAAAAAGAGTTCACAAAAGAACACGAGAAAGGAAAGCTGGAGAGGTTGGTAGAAAGTCATGAAGGAAGCTAGAGTGTTAAAAGTTTCAAGAATCTAGGAATTCCCATGGCAATAAGGCAGCACGCACACAAATCAGAAAGGAATGTCTGCGCTA